CGGAGGTACGCAACTTTCATGGTTTGGCCACTTTTTACAGGAGATTCATCAAAAATTTTAGCAGCATTGTGTCCCCCATCACCAACTATTTGAAGAAAGGGAAGTTTGAGTGGACAAAAGAGGCTGAAAGAAGCTTTGCTAAAATCAATGAGAGGTTATCTTCTACATCGGTACTAGCTTTAGTGAGAAATTTTTGATGAATAGAACGAGACACGGCAAATCAATGAGAGGTTATCTTCTACATCAATGAGGGGTTGGAATCGGTGGTGTTCTATCTCAGGAAGGTAAACCAGTAGCCTACTTTAGTGAGAAATTAAACGAGACACGGCAAAAGTGGTCAACTTATGAAGAGGAATTATATGCAGTTATTCAAGCTCTTAAGAATTGGGAGCATTATCTGATTTAGCGGGAGTTCGTGGTCTATTCAAACCAATAATCACTGAAGTATTTCAAAAATCAACGGCACCTCAACAAGATGCATGCCTGGTGGACAACTTTTTTAGAGCAGTTTCATTATGTTATCAAGCATAAATCTGGCACTTTGAACCGTGTAGCTGATGCATTGAGCAAACGCCTACTCTACTCATCACTGTAAATAATGAAGTTATTGGGTTCAAGTGCTTGAAGGAGCTCTATGAAATTGATTAGGACTTTGGCAACATATGGGAGAAACATACTACTAGATAATCTATGGGTGATTTTCTTGTACATGATGGTTTTTTGTTCTTGTGTCTCCCTAGAACATCCTTACAGGACAAGGTGATTTGTGAATTACATGTTGGAGGTTTGGGTGGTCATCTTGGCAGAGACAAGACAATCGATAGCGTGGAGGAAATGTATTATTGGTCTCAACTGAATAAGGATGTCGGAAATTATGTGAGAAAGTGCCTTGTTTGTCAAGTCACAAAGGGGCAATCTCAAAACATAGGTCTTTACATGCCTTTGCCAGTGTCTTTAGAACCTTGAGAGGATTTATCTATGGACTTTGTGTTAGGACTCCCCAAAACTCAGAGAGGAGTAGGTTTTATGTTTGTGGTAGTTGATCGGTTTTCAAAGATGGTGCATTTCATTCCTTGTGGCAAGACTACTTATGCAACGCATGTGGCAAAATTATTCTTCTAGAAGATTGTGCGCCTACATGGAGTGTCTAAGTCCATCACCTCAGATCAGGACAGTAAGTTTCTAGCTCACTTATGGTTGACTTTATGGAAGTGGTTCAATATTGAACTTAATTTCAATAGCATGACACATCCTTAGACGTAGGGGTGAGCAAAAAATACAAAAAAATCAAACCGACCGAAAAAATTGACCAAAACCAAACCAAAAAATTGGTTAATCGAACCGGTCGATTTGGTTTCGGTTCGATATTCTTACAAAATGACAGTTTCGGTTCAGTTTCAGTTAACCATTTAAAAAAACCATCGGTTAACCGAACCAACTGGTATATATATATTTATATAATATTATATAATATTATATATTATATTTTTTTATTTTTCAAAAAGGTTTGACAGTCTAAGAGGCTTTCAATTTCAGCCTCTCTTTGAATCAATTGAAAGTTCGACAGTCTGCCAGAGTGCCAGACTGCCACTGCCAATCGCATTCTCTTTGAAACTTTACCAGTCTATCACTGCTAGACTCTCTTCGAAACTCGGAACCACTCAAGCCTTTTTCTCTTCTCAACTTCTATCACTCTCTGTCTTTTCTCTTGTCTCTCTAGTCTCTCCCTTCTCTTCTCAGTCTCTCTAGTCTCTCTATTCTATTCTCAGTCTCTCTAGTCTCTCTGTTCTCTTCTTAGTCTCTCTAGTCTCTCCGTTCTCTTCTCAGAATATGTTTTGACATGAAATGGATATATCCRTATATCTCTAACTCATATTTATGAGATGATAAAATATGGCAAAACCTATACCAAGAATTGGTTCATGTAAAAACGGACGTATTGGTTTACGTAAGAGTGGATGTAGAATACCAAAGGGAGTTATTCATGTTCAAGAAAGTTTTTACAATACCATTGTGACTGTTACAGATGTACGAGGTCGAGTGGTTTCTTGGCCTTCTGCCGGTACTTGTGGATTCCGAGGTATAGGAAGAGGGACACCATTTGCTGCTCAAACCGCAGTAGGAAATGTTATTCTTATAGTAGTGGATTAGGTATGCAACGAGCAGAAGTCATGATAAAAGGTCCTGGTCTCGGAAGAGATGCAGCATTACGAGCCATTCGTAGAAGTGGTCTACAATTAAGTATTAAGCGGCAATGTCGGTCGCTGCCTTGCTGGCAAGCAAGCACCAACGCCATTCAGTATCGTTGGTAGTTTTGAAGCATCTGAAGCATCTATCGACTACCGGTGGGTGGTGGTTTTGAAGCATATGGGAGCCTTCTCTCTCTCTCACCTCTCCTCTTTGCGGCTCCGCCAGCAACCACCGGCACTGATAGCAACCACTGACAATTTTAGGTTTTTTTTTTATATTTTAAGTGCATAAAAAAACTGAAAAACCGAACCGCGGTTAATCAGTTCACCGGTGAACGATTGCATCGGTTCAGTTTTGGTTTGGATATTTAAAAAAATAATTAGGTCGACTCAATTTGAAAAAATAACCAAACTATGAGCACCCCTACTTAGGTGGGTGGGTAGACTGAGGTAGTAAACAAAACTCAGGGCAATTTGATTATGAGCATCTGTGGTGACAAGCCTAAACAATGGGACGACGCTTTAGCTCAAGCAGAATTTGCATTTAACAACATTGTTCATAGTTCAACAGGGAGATCTCCATTCTCCACTGTCTACACGAAGGATCCCAGGCATGTTCTAGATTTGGTAAAGTTGCCTAATGTTTTTGGCACGAGTGTCGCAGCTAGAGCCATGGCTAAACATCACCAAGCTACTATAGTGGAGGTGAAACATAAGCTAGAAGAGTCCAACACCAAGTACAAGGTAGTAGTTGACAAGCAACGGCGAACGAATGTATTTGATGTAGGAGATCAAGTGATGGTGTCATAAGGAGTGGTTTCCTATTGGTACCTACAACAAATTGAAGCCAAAGAAGTATGGTCCCTATCGGATCTTAAGGAAAACCAACGACAATGCTTATGCTGTTGATCTTCCTAAGGACATTAATATCTCCATAACCTTCAATATTGCTGATTTATACGAGTACTTTCCATCTAATGGTCCATCTTATCCAAAGATTAATTCAGGGATGAGTTTTTTTTTTCAAGTGGATGGGAATGATGTGGAGCAGCTTGCAAATAAATACATGGAGCAATTGGATAAGAAGAAACTGCCCAAAAAGGAATGAAAGGATGAAAACACATAGTCCTACGAAAACACTCAACTTTCTTATTTGTTTCTTTTTTTGAGTTTCCTAGTCTTGGTAGAGTTCTTATTTCTTTGTTTTCTTTTAGATTAGTTAGAAAAAGTGTAGGAGTTGTTTCCTTTCCGATTTATTTCCTTAGGAATTGGTTTCTTATTTTGAGTAAGTTTGTAATTCAAGGGCTATAAAAGGGACACTAAGCCTTTGTTTACAGGCAATGAATTCCAAATACAATTTTTTCAAAGAGTTTCTCTTAATTTTTGGTGTATTACAGAATTTCAACCTAGTGGATTCTAGGTCCTTTCTTATCAACATGTAGTTTTTACGACTATCGTCAGTGTCACATTTCGACAGGAAGTAATGTTAAATGTAGCGGGGTAGCTTAGTGAGCTAATTTGATGGAGTCGACTTTCACAGAAATAGAGAATCACGTTGCACGTTGAGGAATGTAAAGGTGATGACTCTAGAGCGAGCTCTTGAGTGAGTTGACGCATTTTTGTGAATCGTCTGACATCATTAGACCATTTGATGACGTCGGTGAGGCTACCGAAACCTAACGTGCTGACCTAGCATGTATTGCGAAGAGCCAAGCTGCGAGAACTAGACAACAACGGCTAAGTATATTTTGGCATCGATTCTACAGATACAACACCATTTTCTAAAACGGTGCTGCTGATGTGTGGGTTGGAAGCACTGTTTTTTGAGAAAATGATGTCTTTTTTTGTTTGGAAACGTTGCTGCCAAGTAGAACGTTTTCTGGAGCAACAATAATGTTTTCTATTTGGTACCAATGCTCTAGGAAATGTTTTCAACACGGTAGTCATGCCCCTACCACTGCCACGCCATGTCCTTGTTGGTAGCAATGAGTTGCAACTCTAGGAAACGCCAAATTCGGCATTGCTCTAAGCCACACTTTCTCAATTTCCAAGGCATGGCTTGGAGCACCGTTTTTTATGGAAAAACGGTTCCAAACAAACAAGCATTTCCTGGAGCACCATTTTTTCCGACGTGACATTGATGTGTCGTTGTTTTCTGGAGCAATGACATCGATGCCAAATAGACGCTAAGTCAAGGTTGTAACTGCATGCTTCGCTAACACCATCGAAGAATTCGTCGGAAAGGTCAAGATGGCATATCTCTCTATTTGCGTTTGGATGGAAAAGGCAGGAATAATGTTTGTAAACTAATTTATAAAGGGGTTTTTAATGTTCAATCCACCCCTAAAAACCTTAATTCCATCGTACATGTGGATGAATCCTGACTATGGATCAATGCCAAATCCACGGTAGGATACTAGACGAGAGGGACTGTAATTTCAGATTTATGAGGTGGAGTACAGTCCATTTATCCCATTTATAAAAGGGGCAAAATGGGTAACTATAAAAAATAATGCATCGATTTAACGTTTTCCGTGTCAACGAGTGATGGAAGGGAGGTTTTTGTCGAATTCTTTCAAAATTTAAGGGAGATTTTTGTATTTTACCAAAAAAACGAAAATCGTTGTACAAACTTTACCAAATAAAAATCTCGTTTTACAGACTGATAATTTCATCATCTCGTCCCGGGAGGTGATTAATAGAGTTTGGCCGTCGACGCATCTACGTTTAGCCTTCTCTTCTTTACGTGCATCTGAAGGGTCACCGTTTCTGGTATGCTATTTTTCCCGCGATATACGCGCCTTGTATTTCTTTTCTTGTTTTCTTAATATTCAGCTTACTTCTTTGACTCTTTAGTTTAAATCCAAGAATAGTCGTTTATGCTGAAAATTGAGCGTTCACAAACTGAAGAGTGAAGCTTCCTCTAGATTTCCATGTTTCAGCTTAGCAAGCTTTTAGTTTCGTGATGTCCCCTGCCGATTGTTTACTTTTTAATTTAAACCCAAGAATAGTTGTTTCCTGTTATTTTCGCAGAAAGTCATGTTTATAGATAGTTCTGTGTTGAAATTGAACGTTGACAAACTGAAGAGGTTGAAACTTCCGGTCGACTTCCATGGTTCCGCTTAGCAAGCTCTTAATTTCGTGACGTACTCTGCTACTTGTTTAAACGTCTACAAAATTGTTCATAATCTCATTATTTGTTCAGTTCTTTCAAAATAGTTATGCCAGGATTTTGAACTTTTGCGTAGTAATTATAGAACTCATTTTTCCGAGCTTAATCATGTAAGTCTAGGTCTCAACTGGATGCCATATTTTGGGTTGTCTTGATTTTCTGCTATTCTGTTACTGCTCCATCTAAATACTTTTGTATAATATCATGTACTGTCCCCTTCTCAAATAATGAAAGAGTTCTGGTTCTTGTCGAATGCCTTTTTCTTTTCTTTCTTTCCCATATTGATGTCCCGCCTTAAGCAAATAATTGGGTGCAAAATAATGATAACAATAATTGAGCTCAATATTTGAATGATGAAGAATATTGATTTCTCAAGATTTTTTTTTCATCAGAAAGCTCAATATGATAAGAATTCATGATTAGTTTATAATGGACGACAAGATTGAAACTGTTTAATTTCACTGGATGCTCTGAAGCCAATTCCAGGTTTCTAAATTCACAACCTACGAAAGCCTTGCAAAGTTGGGTGATTTCCTTATAAGAAATGGAAAAAGAGCAAGAATCAGAGTGGCTTGAAGCACAGAAGATCATCATAAGTGAAGACCTCGTAGCTGCAGCAAAAGCACAGTTGCAATTCCTTGCAGACGTTGATCGAAATCGTTATCTCTATGATGGTCCTGTTCTGCACTATGCAATTTACAGGTATGCAGCCTAACAAGCAGTGTTGCATGGACTCTCCTAAATGGATGAATTGCCTGTATTGGACACTAACACTCACATGGATTCTTGAGGGACACTTCTACATGGTGTTTTTCTTTCTTTCATTGTTTATTTGATGGAGATGAACAGTTTGCACATTCAATGCCATTTTTCCTACAAAATGCTCTTAAGTAACAAAACAAGCTTTTAAAAACTTTTTTATAGGACTAATGTTAAAATTCAACAAAATATAGAGTATTTTTAATAGTTTATACTTGTCCATAGATGTGTCCGTGAGTCCTTATTTTTTTGCCTTGCCAAGTCAGATTCCCAGATGCACATCAGATTCTGATTCCCGTATCCATGTTCCTTCAACACTGCTAACAAGTTGTTTTACTATTACTTTTGATGCATTCTTCTAATTTGGTATAAAATTTATGGACTTGATTTCCATTTTCTTATGATCTCAAAGTTTGTATCTTAGGAAACGTGCATCTTGAGCCTTGGAAGTCATGCATTTTAAGTGTATCCCATTTTTATACCGATCAAATGTCATTTTGTAAGATCTAGTATGGGAGTATCATACAGTCATTTTATAAAGAAAATAGCATGTAGGTTCATTGACAGTTTCCTAAATTAATATGTGGTGATGATAGTATTGGTTAGTCCTTCAAAGTGTGTAGGCCAATCACCCAGTTGGACATAGGATGAATGAGATAAGAAACCACTGTGTTTTGGGTTCAATAGACCTTGCCTACTAGAGGAAAAGAAACAGAACAAAATTCTTAAGTAAATTTTGGTCTCCACAGTTGAACATAAAACATGCATGTGCAGTGCACTACCAACATGCATGGTGAACACTGGATACTCATCACTCTTTTGATCTCATTATGGGAAGATAGAATATTTGATTCTTAAACAAATTGGATTATGTGACTTATCCTTTTATAAATCCCGAAATTGTAAGTTCAAATCCCTCTTATCAAATTCTGGTTTGTGAGATTTCAGGTACAAGGTTTGCTGGCTTCCCTTGCTTGCCAAACATAATGAGTCTTGGGTTCTAGAAGGGCCTTTGGTTGTGCCACTTGATTGTGAATGGATTTGGCACTGTCATAGGCTTAACCCGGTAGACATCTAGAATATACATAACTTGTTTTTGTTACTGGCAGAAAAATGTATCTCTTTTCCTGATTTGTTTAACAGTAATTGAACTTTCTTTTTTTGTTGGCTTTGTTACTTAGGTTCGGTACAAAGCAGACTGTGAGGAATTTTATGGAAGGATCCTTGACAACCGCAATGTTGTATCAACTATTAAAGGGGTTTCTACAAAGGAAACTGAAGAAATTTGGAACAATCTATATCCTGAAGATCCATACAAACTTGATTTGAGAATTCCTTTATCAAAAAAAGTTGATGAAAACCTTTCAGGGGTTTCAAAAAGCACCAAATACGACTTGGTTTCAGCTGTTAAAAGGCAAAGCCCTTTCTTTTACCAGGTAATTAAGAGGACTCCATTTTTTTTTCCTTTACATTCTCATGGGGACCAGCCTATAGCATCAAATATCTAAAAGTAGTGTTATGACATGCTTCTTTTAGATATTACCGAAGTCCAAGTGTTTGGATTTTGGGTCCCATTACATTATGTACATTTTTTTGAGAGGGTAAATGATCATGGACAGAATTTCTGTATTAAAACATTTTAACAGAAATAAGAAGAAAACTGGAGACAATGGAGGGCAAATATGCTGGTGTTGCTACCAAGAAAGAGGGCTCTTCCTCAATGCATTAACTCCAATAGTTGCAGAAAACAAATCTCATTAAAATTCCATTTGCTAGCTTAAAATGGGAGAGTATAAAGAGCCTGTTCTCCCTTTCCAAAGAAATGTTAATCATAGCTGGCTACTCAAGCTACTTACTAAGAAAATAATAAAAAATGAGAAAGCACAAAATATCTCCAAAACATTTTTTATCTTGTCTTTAATTTTCTTATAGGGTTGGCTTCAAGCATGAGCTGGATTAACTTGTCCTGTACTCCTGTTGTCCTTAAATGAGTGTAGTGGTCCTAAAAGAGATGGTTGTCTCGTCTATCCAGATGGGATTTGTATTTTTGGGTTAGATCTGTGGGTTTTCCTACATCAATTTCCCCCATTTTCACATAACTCAACTCTTAAGGGGTGGAGTACATATCTCATTGAACTCTGTTATGTCCTTCACTCCTATTTGCAACTACTCCAATATGTCCTTCATGTGATGATGGTAGGGGCCACAGGAGGCTTCTGAACAAGCAAAGATTTTGGCATGAATATCCAAAATATTATGAACATGTTTTGAAATTTTGAGAAACATGCTTTGACTATGTTTCTGTTCCCAATAATAAAATTCATGTACTAGAAGCAGTATGCTCCATACATGTGGCTCTGATTACTATAGTGGGGACAGTGCATCAAGTTAGGCCAAGCCCCCAATCCTTGCTCATTCACTTTTAATTTCTGCCTTTCTTTCATGTAGAAAGGAAAAAACTAATAAAATTACTGAAAATCTGAACTTTGAACTAAATAAAATGTAGTTCAAAGAAATAAATAAAGCCTTCTTTTGGTTAATTGGATCTTACAATGACACAAGTTTCTAACAGTCACTGCAAACAAGACTAGAACTTGCTTAAATCTGCTGAATGTTTGCAGAGAGTTGAGGTTCACCAATTTTACTCCATCCTTGGCATGCTTTATTTCTTCTTCTTCTTTCACCAGTAATTTGACTGATTTTGAATTGATAGGTGATCCATGAGTCAACTAACCCAGTTTGAAAAGTCTTCCCAGGAGCAATTGATTGAAATAATTAAAATAGGAAACTGAAAATAGAACAGGAAGTTATATATTTTACCTTAAATGTACAAGTAGTAGGGTGTCTTCTTCTATTTAGAGAAATCATTATTGAGTCCTTTGAAGGGGTAGGATGTTAAGAGCTTATTTCTCCTGCAAGTTTTGTTAATATATAAAATCCAAAACATAGTGATTCTCTTCACATTACATATGCTCCCAGAAACTACAAAGAGCTTCATCCTCTAAGGGACACAGGCCTTCAAATGAAGCTCAAATAGATTAAAAATGTTTTCCTTCAAACTTTTGGGTGGTTTCTAATATCCTTCCAGAAAATGACTTGTGCAGTGCCACAACTTGTGGAAGGACATTCATGAGCAAGAAGATCAATAGATTTTTCTTGATTTGTATTGTGGAAGTCAGGATACAGGATAGTCTTAGCACTATATTTAAGTGATTGCAAGTTCTTCACTGCTTTTGTTCAAGACAAATTATACAAGCCAAGTTTGTTCATGTGCCATTTTCATGGGATTTGATCTGAATCCTGGGTTTATATGGTGAATCATGATATATTGAGAATTGGTTGAATATTTTCTCAGTGATTTAACTCATATAGAGTTAGTACATTTCCAGAGGCACTATTAGGTCCTTACTTGATGTCTCATTCATGTGATTTTATTGTTTTGGCCACTATGCCTTGACTATGTTTGATTCATATGATTTCATCCTCATTCTCCTTTCTTTCAAGCATGCAGTTGAACTGTTATTTCATTCTTTTCCTTCAGAGGTTCCACAGAAGTTATTCATTCAGTTCCTTGACTTCTTGTTTATTTATGTCTCTGCATATAAATTTGTGGCAGGTTGACAGACCAAATATGAACAACAATCTTTTTCTTCAATGTGCCATGGAAAGATACAAAGGATTTTTGCATTTGATCAAGAGAAACAGGGAGAGATCCATCAAGCGCTTCTGTGTTCCAACTTATGACATTGACCTTATCTGGCACTCTCACCAATTACATCCTGTTTCTTACTGTAAAGACCTGGTAGAAGCAATTGGTAAGGTATTAGAGCATGATGACACAGACTCTGACAGAACCAAAGGGAAGAAACTGGATGTTGGATTTTCTGGAACCACCAAACAGTGGGAAGACACATTTGGTTCAAGATATTGGAGAGCTGGGGCAATGTATAGAGGTGCTGCTCCATCTCCTGTTACATTAACACCATTTTCCTCAAACTTAGTGAGCAAGAAGGTAGATCCATCCAATGTGCATCAGAACATAATTGAGTTTCACAAGACAAAGGTTATGGAGGTAAGCTGGTATTTTCTGAACCCTATTTTTGCAATTGCCATTTTCTTTTGTGCATTTATTATGCCTTTACTAGTCATGTTACCTCAAAGTAACTTCATATTCTCCTAATTTCAAAGAAATTGATTGCCTCTACAATTATAAGGTTTGGAGGAAATCCTGGTAATCAAATAAATTATGCTATTGAGATTATAATAAAGAAACAATAATTTATTTCTATATTGGGGCAGAATGGCATGTGAAATTGTAAATCCAGATCCAAATTTTGAACAGTTATCTTTAAAACTGTAGTGCTCCAATAGGTAATAAGATGAGAGAAAGTAGACTAAGATGATTTGTCATGTGCATAGTAGACCACTTAATATCATCTGTAAGAAGTGATCTGTTACAAGTTGAAGGGGCTAGTAGGGATAGGGCAGACCAAAAAGGACATGGATCAAAATAGTAAAAAGTGATTTAAGCGCTCATAATTTAACAATGGATATAGAATTGAACAAAATGGAATGGTGAAACAGGTTCATGTAGCTGACCCCATATAGTTGGGATAAGGCTTAGATGATGATGGTGATCTTTAAAATTGTAATGCTTCTTTTAGGAACAGAACTGAAACTAAGCTTGAGGACCTAAGACAGGAACAAAGCATGTATGTTTACTGCTTGTATTTCTATTTTTGTTTTTCTAAAATCTAAGATGAGATTTGTTTTTTATTTGAAATTTATTCAGTTACCCAACCAAAGAGACCAAAAGCATGCAATTGAAAGTTATGGATAATCTGCAGTTGGAATACAGGTCTATGGTGGGATTCACTAATTTAGAGATGTATAATTTATTATTTATTATTTAGGAAGTGTGTTTATATCTTATTGAGTTTTCTTAATTAGAAGTTGAGTACTTGGAGGATTCTTTTAGGTCTGATGCTCAAGATTTTTCTCATTAGTGCCACTTCATTGAAGGCGTTGTCTTGAGTTCGGTATCTCTCCATATTTTCCTTAGGTAGAGAGGTGTTACCCCTTAACCATTTATCTAACAATTTGTCTGTACTATATTTATGTGTATTTATCATGATTTTCATTATAAAATGCTTCCTGAACTTTCTTCTTGAACATTTTAATTTTCTTTTGGCTTCTGTAGCTTTTTTGTTAAGACTTGTTTCTTGTTTCAATACAATCATGTTCCACCAAGAAAAAAGAATAAGGTTGGTTCTGAAATCAGTATTGTAGATTAAAAGAAAAATACTTCGTTGTACATGTAGGGAGTAGGGACTTGGATCCTTAATTGGATACATTTGTCTGAGATAACTTCTGAAACCTGACCTGAGCAAACTTGCTACCAAATCATTAATTGGAGTGGTGGAGAGTTTGTACCTCTTGCATCAGAAGACAGCCCATAAAACAGTTAGCTATGTATGTTACTGGGGAAATTTTAGGCCTTTTGTATATTTGTCACTTAGATGCCAATAATGTGAGTCTGGATATAGTAGGCACAGCATTGTAAGCACAGTGGTGAGCACACACTAAATATTCTACACCTGTATCAGAAATTGATTTTAATCTTTTTCAATGGTAGGCTGGGGGTATTTTAAGGAACAAGTGTCAAAAAACTTTCAAGTGCTTACTCAATGTGCTCATACTGTGTGCCTACCTGATCCAGACTGCTATACTGTTACATGCAATCACTAATGGTTTCAGTTTGAAAGTTATATGGACCTTCAAAATTAAGATTAGGATAATATAGGTATTTTTGAACACCCCCACCAAGAAAAAGAGGAGGCTTATAGACTTCCACATTGGTTTCATCATTGAAGGTTCAGTCACTACATTGGTTTCCACCTAACCCAAATACAATCAAGCTGAACATTGATGGCTGCAGCATGGGGAGTCCACACTTATCTGGAGTGTGGAGTGTTTAGAAATTAGAGATCAGGGAGGGAACTTCCTAGCCTTATATTCTGGACTGGCAGGTTTTGGCAATTCAATTAGGGCTGAAACATTAGCTATTCTGCACGAATTACAGCTAGTAAAAAAAATCATTGTAATAATTAATAAAAAGACATCTTGGTTGAAAGGGACTCAAATGTGATCACAAGATAAGCAGTAATGAAGCTGGTTCTTGGAAGTATAGACATGTTAAGGAGATTTAGTGCTAGCAATGGAACTGAGGACAGTATATTAGGTGGATTCCAAGATCAGCCCATAATACTGCTGATGAACTAGCAAAATGAGGGGTAAACAGAAGTCAGATGTATTGGGACCTGATCTCCCCTTGAGAAAAGCATGCAACTTTTGTAAATTGTGATTTTATTTGGCTAGCTGAGGATATCTACCTTCCGGAGTGTTAGGCACTTGACTGTATAAAATCCTACTACACATTTCAATTAATAAACTTAACTATTACTGATTAAGAAAAGGGAAGCTTTATTATTGGTAATCTGTACAAGGTTTTTATGGTCTGTTAGTTTAAAACTAGTAATCCTGTTTAGCATTGAGATTGAGAACCTTGAAACTTAATAGCTCTAATTGTTCTGACCCTAGAATAACAATTTTTTTATTATTTATGTGTTTTACCCTCTGGAGTCATGTCATTCTATTTCTTATGCACCTATTTTGTTCTTTCAGGTACTTCTGGAGATTGTGGGGGTAAGAAACTTACCAACCAGGCACAAGGGCAACCTTTTTGTTTCTTTTAGTAAGAAACAACCAGATTTATTCTTTAATGTTAAGAGAAGAGTGAGTATTTTGTCTGAGTGTGGGGAGAAACGGGTTGCTGCTTTTCAGTGCGAACCTACAGGAGAGTTATTCTTTGAACTTGTGTCCCATTCACCTTCCATCTTACCCATATCAAGGCCGGCCAAAATCATGGGGACAACATCTATATCTATGTCAGACTTGCTTGACCCAGCTTATAAGCTTTCAATGGAAAAATGGTTCGAGTTGGTAGCCAGTTCTGGAATTGACTCTAAGCCAATCTGTCTGCGCATTGCTATCTCTATCACTGTCCCTGCACTAGCAGCACAGGTACTTCATATGGTCCGGTTACATCCATTGTCAATTAATCCCTGTTTTTCACCACTACCAGGAAGGATCCAACATGCCAAGAGTTGGAAATGTGTTCTGGATGAAAGTGGCAAGGAGATCATTGGTATTAAGATGAGGTGTGTAAAACTTGCTCACTTATTTTCTATTGACAAATGAAATTGTAATTCCTTGCAGGTATAGAATCTAAAATTCTGATAAACAGGGTTATCTGATATGGTGAGTCTAAAGACTCTAAACTGCTTTAGGTTAGTAACATGAGGTAGCCAAGCTACCAGGACATAGCCAACAAAGCGGAGTTTGCTGATGCATGAAAATGCATGGCTAATATAAATTTGGGTGCCTAACCATTTTGTTCAGAAGCTTACCTGATCTGATTCTAACAAATTAATCTATAATTATTTTAGATGTTCAAAAACAAAAATGCTTAATCATAATGATCTTATGGTTCTAACTTTAGGTGAGTCCATCCACCACATAGATTTCCTCATGCGGTAATATGGACAATTTAGATTTCCTCTTCTTGAAAGATACTAGTTAAAACTGTCTATGCTAGAGCTCTGGGCAAATGAAAAAATTATTTGAGTGGAAATAACTTGGCATCATTACAGTTTTCAGATGTGAATTAGAATCTGGAGCATCGGTTTATTGAAAATAAAAATTAGGTTGGTTCTTGTATTCCCCCAAATCTGAAAAATTTAGGTTGGTTCTTGTGGTAATATGCATTTCATTTATATCTCAGAAGTTTCCATTTCTAAATTAACGAAACTGATGCCTTTTCTTTGCTCTTTCGTTGGTATGCATGTATGGTGTGCTTACTTGATGTAAAGACCTGAAAATAAAATTTCCCTGTTATTTACCTAATTTGTATCTTATGGTAAAAAAGAAAAGAAAAGAAAATAGCACTGTATGAATCATACCTAAATCCTGAATTTTATCAATTGCTAGTTTTTTATGCATTGCAGGGATACTAAAAAAACAGAGGCAGGAACCAAATGTGTTGCAAGGAAAGAGGTGGTTGGCATTGTTGGATCTGGTGAAACTCATATTCTAGCTGAGTCTGTAGGAACAGGTTGGTCTTTGATGGGTTCTCATGGTTCCTTTCATCTTCGGAAGACATCCAGTGAACACGGTCATATTTTTGAGCTTAGAGGTAATCAAATGGTAAGTATGTTCAATTTCCTCAAAGTAATTGTTTCTCGTCTCTCTATTCAAATGGTCAGATTATCATGCAAGTGTACATAAATTACATTTTCCTTTTGCCATTTTATGGTTGGGATATTGTCACAGGATACCTGTAAGGAATACATGCCCGTCAACCTGGAATGTCCACAACATGCTGTATCAAACATGGCCAAAATTACCACTATGAATTAAATTGTGCTCTAAGCATCCAATAGTGTAATTTTATCCAGAATGATGGTCATGACACCTATCATTCAAAAGTAGTTGACTTGGACCATTATGGACCACATGGTAATTTGAAACTAAAATATAAAGGAAATGAATTTAAATCCTCTACAATTTTTACTCAGACTACTGGATCAATCACAATACACATCAGTTCCATACATGCGGGACATATATCAAGCTGATGTGGCATATCATGATTGGCCAAGTATTCTCTGGTTCCATAGAGGATTTGGAGTGTAAAAGCATCCTATTAATTCGAGATGTAGGTTGACATGCACTAAGACTTGCATCCTCACTCAAATACCAGTCCATATGTTTGTTATCTAGGTAATCCTGACATTTCTTTTTACTAGTAGATGTCCAGGTGTGGTGCACATGAAAACCTATGAAACTCACTGTGTACTAGTGGATTTAAATTTTGTATTCCATTTTCATTGTTAATAAAAATACTTATTATTTTTTATATTTAATTTTGTTTTATATGGTAAATATATAATATTAGAGTGTGGACATTTTTTGTATTTTCTATATTTTTATTTCTTTATTTTTTGTGTTTTTTTATATAATTATGACATCATTAATTGACCCATTTGACTCAAAAAAATTATTTCATTTTGGGTGGTTTTAAATTTCCTATTTCATTTTCATAATTAATTATAAAAATAATTTATGTTTATCAAACTTATCTTTGTTTAATATGATAAATGTATAGTATTTGAGATGTGTTAAATTTTTTTTATAAATTTCCATATGTTTTTTGTATTTTGTCTATTTTTAATTTTATTATTTAATTATGACATCACTGGTTAACCCTTTCAATCCAAATGGTTGGACTGACTGCCATTTAGATGGAAAAACAATCTTTTTTTGAGTTTTAATTTTTTATTGAATTTTCAACATGAATAAAAATAATTATTATTTAATACACTTATTTTTTGTTTAATATGATGAATACATAATATTAGAGGTATTTAGATGTTTTCTAAAATATTTCTTTTTTTAATAATTTTTTTGTGTTCTATTTTTTTAATTTTTATTTTTAATTATGATATAACGGGTTGACCCATTTTGACCCTGATGGTTGAACTACTTACCCACCACTTGAATGGAAGAACGGTTTCATTTTCAGGATGGTTTTATGTTTTGTTAAAATTATTAGGTATATTTAATTAGTAAATTTTATTTTAAAGATAAATAGTAAAATTTATTGATAAGAAACAAAATTACCTCAAAAATAGATAGGATTTAATGAGCCAATGGGAGTTAACACCTTAAATATTGGACTTAACGGGAGGGAATTGAATGAAGTGAGAGATGGTTCAAATTATGTTTTCTACCCTCGTAGTTATAAGAGCAACATGCACTTTGGTCCTAATTTTTTGTTGTATCTTATGGGTCATTAATGCACCTGATATCTCATGTTTTATTGTGGTACAGGTAAAACTTTTCGTTGGTAGAAGGCTGGAATTTGAAACCACCAACTGTGAGACAAAAAAGAGTGAACGTGACTACATGACTGCAGTTGAATACTCAACCGATGATCCATACGGCAAAGCCTTGGCATTGTTCAACTTGAAATCAGGAATTCTCAAGGTATGTCTACGCATTCTAATTTCCTTTAGCAGAAAACTCTTCAATAACATACTCCATTTGAACACTCATGTAGGTCAACGAAGAATGGTTTTTGTTGCCTGGGATAACATTAGCTTTTATTCTCTTACATTCTGAGGAAAGAGGGATACGGCGTTTTCATTGTCAATGGAGAAAACAGAAAGGAGATGAATGATTTAAATGAAGATGATGAGGGTTGTGATGTGGAAGTAAGAGCGGACAGATAGATCACTGTACTGAAGAAAACAACAGACAGAAATGCCTGAGAAATGCAGTGTGGTGGTGCCAGGTGCTAGCAACGGAAATTCTGGTGATGTAGAGAGCCAAATTGTGGTGTATGTAGAAACATGCGTAGCTGCAGAGAATGCAGAGACAAGTGAAGAACAAACAGTATATGTGGTGGCAGCGGTGGGTATAGACGTGAATGTGATGGTGGTTGCGGCGGCAAGTTGACATAAAAGGGAGGGGACTCACGGTCCACGGAAGCGGCTTGAGGTTAGCATCATGAGGTGCCACGCAAGTATGCTGTTTGGAAAACTAAATAATAAGATCGAAGGAAAGTAATTTACAGTAAAATAATAAATGCATAATTACTGTTCTGTTAATTTAAGGTCAGTTAAACCATAATTATTGTTAATAAATTATTATTAATTTATAATTAAATTTAAATAATTGTTGTTAGTTAATAGTAAAATAATTAACTTATTGTTTACGATAAGTAATTGAATAGCGACGGAGTGGGTTTGGGGCAGATACCATATTCCCCCATCTCTGACCTTGACTATTGTTAGGGATAAAAGTTGCCCTCCATCCCCGATCCTTGACAAAGATGGGTTTTTCGTGGGGACTTGAATCATCAAAATTTTTTAATTAAAAGTATTATTTAGAAAATAAAAAATAATTTAAAATATAAATAATATCTTAAATATATTTTGATATATATATAGCGATCCATATCAGCTACCCTCCCCTTTCTCCAAACCCCCTTCCTCCTTAACTCTCTCCTCTTCCTTTTCCACCACTCCCATTTTGCCAATTCAGCATCCTTTCTCTTCATTCTTTAATTAAGATAATGAAATTAACTAATTTACTATTAATTATGTAATTAAAGTTAATTAAAGTTTTTAATTAAAGGTATTTTTGAAAAATAGATTCACTTAAAATAGAGGAAATTTTCAAAATATAAACAATATTTTTAATTTATTTTGATGTATATATAATGTAAATAATATTTAATATATATAGTTGGGGTCAACGCAGGGTAGGGACTTCACTCTCCATCCCCAATTAGGGATCCCTATTAATCCCCATCCCCGCCTTATTAAAGCTAATTAAATTTGCCATCCCTAAGTAATTTTGCCATCCCTAAGTAATTTTGTTAATTAAACAATTCGACTAAGTTTTATTAAGCAACCTAATAAATTAATGGTCTAAAGTGTTAGAAATTCAGTAAATTAATTAGTGTAAATTAAGTAATTATTATGGAAACTTATAATTGGCCATTTCACTGTTAATTATGTAAATAAAGCTAATTAAATTAATTAGTGTTAATTATGTGAATCATTGGTGTTATACAACCCAAGAATGGGGTCTGCAAGGTTTTGACTCAAGATTTTAATGCAACTCATATTGTTATTGGCAATGGAAGAGGAATATGGAAATGGAAGATTGTTCAAAATCTTCCCAAAATACTTTATCCAATTTTGTAAGGAATCGTAATTGGTTCTACCCTATGAGATGTATATCTCACAAACATGGAAATGTAATGAACGCTAATTGATTATCAATATTAGAAGGGTGGTGACATGGCATCATGAGAGAGAGAATTGAGCTAATTAAGGAGAGTAATTATGTGGGTAAAGAGAGTGAAAGACGTGAGTAGTAGTGGGGAGAAAGAGGGGGAGATTAGGTAATATATTGAGTTACTTGAGGAATTGAGAGAAGAATGCTGAATTGGCAAAATGGGAATGGTGAGAAGGGGAGAGGAGAGAGAGTCAAGGAGAATGAAGGGTGGGGATAACGGAGCAAGGAGGCTGCAACTTGGGTCGGGTTGGCCCTTGGGTTAGGGTTGACCCCTTGGGCAACCAGACTCTATAGTACATATCATATATAAATATATGTTATATATAATATATCATATATTAATTTGTTTAGATGCATGATAGTTGTATAGCCCCCACCACATGCTATCATTTATTTCTTTTAAGATAATCACTTCACTTAATCCTAATTGAAAATACTAAAACCTTAATAACATATTTTATGTTTTTGAATATTTTATTCATTATTTCCTCTCTATTGCTTGCCACCCATAGCTTGCTGTCTATAAAAGATCTATTATAAGTTATAACTCATAATAAACTATAGTCATTTCAAACACTTTTTTTTTTTTTGAATTTTGTACTTAGAGAACCAATAAAAATATCAACAAATACTAATAAAACATAGAATTAATATATGTGGTGAAAGTTGAGTTAAGATCTTAGATTAAGAAGTTTTACAAGATTTTAAGGGATGGGAAGAAGGTTGGGTTGGGCCCAACCCGAGCCCAACCCAACCCGAAGTTGACTTTGGGTTGGGTTGGGTTGGGTTAGGGTTGGAGGTATTTAGTTAGGGTTAGGGTTATGGTTGGGTAGGTCGGGCTGGGTTAGGGTTAGGGTTGGGAGTTTAAAACTTAGGATTGGACTAGGGTTTGCCTCAATCCGACCTAACCCGGTCCAACTTGCAACCCTAATATATATAGTGAATGAATACATCTTTGTTGTTACTGGTGTAAGCGCATCTACTGTGTACATATATAAGTAAAGATGAATGGGTAAAAGTAAAAGATCTAATACAATATGATGCTACTAAATATTGAGTTAATTTTTATGGCTGTAGGTGAAAAAGCCAAGAATGGCAATGTAAGGTTCAAAATAGTGATATGCCTCTGTGTATCGGCAGAGGTATATTGGTACTTAGATAAATATGGATTTATATTTTTTTAGTTTTTTTTTTCAAAATTTGGTTTTTTGGAAGGTATTTAAGGATTTTTTTTATTAAAAACTAGTGGGTCCTGATACACCTGTTTGGGTGACCCAAAAGACACGATACGATACACCCAATATGGAGCGGTATCGTATCAAAATTTTGAACCTTGATGGCATAGATATTATTTATTTTGGTCTTTCTCAATTTTCAGACTGGCTTTTTCACTAAGGTTCAGAATATTGGTATTGCATATCATGTTGAAAAGTTTGGATAGAAACAAGTATCAGAATACACATGGACATAGTGGAAAGAATAGATACACTAGATATATAAGAGAAATCCTTATAAATCCCACAAATACATCAATGATACTAAAGCTAATGTTCAAATAACTATGAATAACCAAATAACCAACTGATGGGTGCCTCAGTTAGTACTTGGTACATCAGTCATTGGGTCATGCCAGTAAAGACTTGGGGCCAAATCTCGATGCCACTAGAGATTGGGGGATGGGCTACGACCACCCCCTGTTGTGTATCCTAATGAACTAAAAAAGTTATGAATAAGGTTTAAATACTTTGATGTATAAATATAAAATAAATGCACACTTCAATAGTTTATATGAAGAGACCGAGAGTCTACGAACACATAAATATTATACATTTTAAATAACACTTTCAAACAGTGTTTAAGCTTTCAATATATTAAATAATTTTTTAGTACAAAATGATTTTTATGATTTTTGGATTTACCTAATTTTTTTAAGGAAAATTCATAAATTCATTAATAGAGGATAAAAATATCATAGATCTAACAAAAAATTCAACATAAGGTGTTATTTATTTAATATTATTACATAAATAGTTATTCTATTTCTTCAAATTATCAATATGTTTTAATTATTTAACATGGATTAAATTATTAATCAATAAATTATCGAAACACATAATTTTAGTTTAAAAATATTTAAGATTCGTTATAATTTCTAAGTTACATAAAGTATGTAATTCAGAATTTTCAACTTTGTAGTCACTACGTAATTTATGTAAAGTACCAAAAATTGAGAAAAATGTCATTTTTGACATAAATTGTTGTTGGATCAATGGGTTTGATATTTGATAAATCATTATTAGAAGCCATCTAAGACACATAGGAATAATTTGTTATTTTTGGATTTTTCTATTTTTCCGGGGAAAATGCATAAATGTAATAAAGATCATATAATTAACCACAAATATATATGTTTTGAAATAATTGGAACCCCAAAATACATACAACAATTGAACATGAATGATTTCTATAAAAAAAAAATAAATGTGAATGATTAAATAAAAAATAAAGTTAACCTTCTTTTCTTCTTCCTCTTCTTACATGGTGGACACTTGGATAAAGTTATTAATATATTATTATTTATTTTAAGTTAAATTATTAATTAATGATCATAGAACCATAAAAAATATTAGATTAATGAGAATATAAAACATCCAATACACAAATCATGTGTAACTATTATATTTTAATTGAAAAATAAATTATTTTGTTCTTTATTAAAAATTAAAATATTAATTAATAATTTATGGAAATATATAATAATAATTTAAATATATATTAGATCCATTAGAATTTCTAAGATACAACTCATATGTAAATTCATAAATTTTAATCATTAAAATAATTGTTTTTCTTTTAGTATTTTTATTTTTGTAAATTACCAAATATTAAAAATCATTTTTGTTTTAAATATTAAGGGATTTGATAGACCATTCATTTCATTAAAATTCATAAATACTTATTTTATTGAACATTCATATATAACATTATTTATTTGAATTACAAATGGCCTCCGAATGTATTTTAATTACATGCACAACATTGGAAGATGCTCTAATGATTAATGATCATACCCCTAATTTGGAAGATATGGATTCAATTCTTACTAATAGCTTGTAAGTTAATGTTTTTAATTTGTGTTTAATAAGGAGAGAATAATTGGCATTGTTCATTCATCAAAAAGAATAATTAGCATTGTTCAAAAGTCCACAATTAATGGCATTAATGGTAGAAATTAACTGTCTTAATTTGAATTGTAAAAATTGTTACAGTCATAAAAAATGAATAAAGGCACAATCACTAAGAAGTGTGATTTAATTTGTTGAATGGTACAATTAGCAAACATCTAAATATAAATTTTAAAAAGGGTAAATTACTGAAACCTCCCCTAAATTTTGGTAATGGCAATCACCTCCCCTAAACTTTCTGACATAGTTGCAAGTAGATCCCTTCTCGTAGAATTTTCTAAAAAAGGCATTAAAATGTCCAAAATATTTATGCAATTACTTTTAACAAAAATGTTTATTTTCCAAATTTTCTCTCCATATGAATCACTACCCCAAACCCTTCCAATCTCTTTTATGAAATTGATTAATACAAAATTACAAACTGATATGAACAATACACATTCATCTGTTGATGCCAACCAATAAATACAATATGTACATGGACAAATGGTGACAATATTAAACCATTCCATCCATATCATGTGCCGATCCTCTTGAATACCGATATGATACACCATGTATTAGGCATATTGTATTGCTATCATTTGTTTGTATTCTATATATTGTATTGATTTTTT